TGCATGAGAATAGAATTCTATGATGCTGACAACTTTAGCACACTGAATCATTCTCCACCTAATTCTGACTAATTTAAGGAAAAGTCAACTGAATTCATTTTCTAAATAGAAATTATGATCCAGTTGATTCACTTGTTTGCATTCCCTAAACTTTAAAAATGATCAGACTCAATGTAATATTTTGCTACTTGTACAACACTAAAAACGTCTAAGACTCCTAGTCTTCAATGCAATCTGTTTTTCATAGTCAATTAAACTATTTAACTATTAGTTTTGTTTACTTTACTCAGTTATTTCCATTCAGTATTGCATTAAAATTACTATATAATAACTATTTGTTTCACTTTAAATTAAATTTGATCAGGAGGTTTGTATTTTGCTAAACAAATTGCTTTGCAAAGGGCAACATTTCATTCATTTTGTTTGCTTGTTTTCTTAAACAACTAAGATCTGATCAACATGTCTTAGCAGCTCCTGCAAACTGGAATGCTGTTGCCAGATAATGCAAGAATTATTTAGAAATTAATATATATATATACTGTATATATTTTAATTCAGAAAAATACAAGTTAGTAGGTCAGCTCTAAGGTAGGTTTTGGTCTCCCTCTTTCAATTTCAAAACAAAGATTTGGAGAAGAAGTTTTAAAATCAACAATTCAGTTACTGATCTGCAATAGAAGAGCAAAAGTACTGTGTAATTGTATATATATTATTCCAATTTACTAAACTTGTTGATTTTACATACTGTCAAAGCGACTGTTTTTATTTGTTATGGACACATCCACATGAATTTAAAAAGTGCTACTTTGAATAAAAGGTTTCTAGTGCAAGGTACCACTAAGAAACATCTTAGTGCACCACAAGACACAAAAACAAGCAAACAATAAAGCTTGTAGTGTGTTCCTTTCACCAAGTATGTGCAGTAATACTTTACCTGAACAAGACTAAAAACACACAAAAAATATTTCATAACAAATATAAAACCATGCATAATATTGTACACACCATTGTGGCAAATTACATTACAGATATCCAATTATTTAGAATGGTCGATAACTGTTTCAACTGAATAAGCGTTTCAGCTGGAAGATATGAGCAGACCTGCAGGCAGAGAGTAAGGTGACAGTGAAGAAAGACAATTATGAACTTGAGAGCCGATAAGAACTTTCTGCACATGCAGCTCTGAAACAGTGGAAGTGATATTCTTTAGTGAAATTTTAGCTACTGTACATGTTATTTATGCATTTTGTTATATTATGTTGTGTAATGTTTATGAAGGAGTCCCTTCAGTAAACCCTTACCAGATTTTCTTAACGTAGTTGTTATTCTATAACATTATTCATAAGTTATTCTATAGCTCTGTTAAAAACACATTAAAAAGTATAAAAGTGAAATGTATTGGTGGAGTAAAGGAAAAGAATTGGGTGTGTATTTCATTATTATGCAGATGTCAGTGATAAGCCAAAACCTGTATCTAGAGGATTATTGCAATAACTGAATACTCTGCACATATAATGTGGTCAGAAGCAAACACAGTGATCCACCAATTATTACAAGGTAATGAAATCTAAATTGGGGTGAGGAATCTACTTTTTAGATAGTTTATTATATAATCATGTAATTATTTTGCATTATACTGTAACAATATAATTACATTTTCTGTGGCACCAGCATGAACCCAGAATATATAAATATATAAAGCAACGCAATCTTTGCTCTATATACTCCAGAATTCCTGAATTGTAGGCTTTCTTCTAAACATCTTAGATGAGACTAAACTAAAAGAAATATAGAATATGTTGCAAATTAGTGTTCAAGTGCCATTTCTGGGTACAAAAGATGTTGGTTTGTATAGTTTCTGAGTTCTGTTTGTAAGAAATATGACTTTGTAAGATTAGAATACATTTTTTCTTTAAT